GTCTTTTCTTTTGTGATGACCTATTTACACTCATCCCTTCTTTTTCTATAGGCCCTTACACGGCTATCACCTGTGAATAAATGGTCTCCACTATACTAACCTGTGCTAAACCCAGACAGATCAAGATAAGTAAGGTTCAAAAGTCAGATTATGTTTCACCACCGAAGTTGAGTCACAAGGTAGTAACACCGTCAAGGCTGACCAGATGCACAGCGTTGCCAGGACAAACGCACCGAGTTCACGTACAAAATGGTGGTTAACTCACCACAAGGAGACCTGCAACATCTGTGGTCCTCCTTCTTCAGAAACCAAGCCCTTCTTTCTCTCAGGTGCATCAGATCAGACCGACTTCGGAAACACGTTTTGAAAGGAACAGTTAATGCTTAATTTTTTGGACCAGTTTTGCATTCTTAGATCTGGTAATTTGAACAACTACTTTGAAGACATCAATATGCAATATAACAACCATTGTTGATTTCATCATCTTGTTTTGAAATTGTGTCATTTTTAATGTGTTTTTTCTCAAATATATATATATATATATATATGTATATATATAATATGCCCCATGTATATATATATACATCTCCAGCATAGCCTATCATAGTGACCTCCCTCATGGGGCACTAGCTCCCTTTGTACTTCATGTAAGAAAGGCCAGCAGTGCCATCTTCCAGGACGAAGAGCCTTAACCCTTACATACTAACCTTGTGCCACTACCACGGGATGCCACGTTCAGAAGGACCTGACCAAGTGTCTGCACAGAGAAGCCCTCAGACAAGGCTGTGTTTTGTTTTCCTCTCCAAAAGATAGTATGACTTATAAAAGACACTGTTTTATCTTTTACAACTAAAATGAACACTCTCTTAGCCATGTTTATACCTTATGCCTGTTTTGAAAAAGAAAAATTAAGAGAGAAATAATCCGAAGACACAGAGGACAGAGGGACAAAAAGAGTTGTGTGAGGGAAAGATGAGGAGAGGAGAGAGACACAGTGAGCCTGGTAAGTTAGTTATTTCCCAAAGCATGTTCATTCCAGGCAGATAATCAACAAGGAAAACATTCTCATTTTCTTCTCTGACAGCTGGGACATAAATGGTTGCTGCAATAATATCAGAAATTATTGGACATTTTAGGCATTCTTGCTAGGGAGAAGCCAGCATTACAGCCAATTTGAAATACTGACCCCAAGGTGCTCTAGAAATTCTGTTTTTCCAATGCAAGAGTGTCAGCTGTAAGATTAAAGTGAGATACACTGTCTAGTGGGCAGCGTGCTGGCCAGACACCACATCTGGAGTATGGCTCTCTGTACTCTGGGTTCCAGCCTGGCTATCCTTTACAGCCAATGCTGCCCCATGAATAAGAATGTCTGACAAAGCAGACCAATATTGGGAATAGTGCTTAAGATCCATCAACCCAAAACAAAACTCAGTTCTGACTTGTCACCTCCAAATGCTTCAAGAAGCTGGTCCAGATCCAAGGCGAGTGACAGCTAGCTGAATCTCAAGGAAATTATTTCCAGTTCCCATCTAGTTAGGACCTATCTGAAGGGATCCTAGAAATCCCCAGGAATAAAAATGTTCAGGTCACAAAATGGTATATACCTTTAAATCAGACATCCTCATACATAAAACAACAAAAACACTGAAAAAAGGCAGTATAATAAATCAGAGAATTGGTAAGCCAAATACTACATCCACAGGGATTTTTTAAAGGTGCCTCTGACATCAGATGAACTTTACAGAGATGCCTCACATTAAGTCAAAAGCTACTCTCAAATATCTGAGACAGACTAGCAGGTGCCATCCCTGACCACGAGGCAGCTTTCCTGTGGCTGAAGCCTGCACTATGGCTGTATTCACTTGGCCTCAAAGAGCTTTATCTACTAGATTTTTCTCCCAAAAAATCACTAGAGACTTCCCCAGAGAAAAAAGACCCTTGGATTTTCCCATTATTTAGAGGAACCTCTACAAGCTACATGTGGATAATTGTGATAGAGACATCAAACAAACAGAAGAAATTCACCCAACCCAGCTTTTCTGCGCATCCCACTTTGTAATCATTCACTATTTCCTGTCTCTCCCAAGAGTGTTTGTAAGACTGGTTCATGACCTACGAAGATAGAATGAAAACATCACATTGAGTATGGATGAGAATCCTGTTCAGTGAGAAAAAGAGGGAGGTCGGGGGAGAATGCCAGGAATGCTGCTAGTTTAGAACAGCTTTCAAGAAGTAGGCAGGGTCACAAAGACAGCTCAGCGATCTAAATGCCTGCCTAGGCAAGTGCAAGGACCTGGGTTCAATCCCCAGTACCACATGCTGTGCCGGCCCCACCCTGGGCTCACCAGCCACCAAGACTTGGCATAATCCCAGTGCTGGGGAAGCTGAAACAGGAGGAGCACTATAAGTCCTAGCTGCATAGTGAGACCTATACCAAATGCATAAAATTTTTTCAAAAAAGAACTGAACTTCAGTAGTTAGGTAGAAATGGACAACCTACATGAGCTAATAAAACAGAATTTCTCTCTCTATTCTCTGCTGTTTATTGAGCAACATACTGTTAAGACTGAAGTCATTCTCAAAACCTTTTACTGACCTCCTGATTTATAAGCACTATAATACACTGCCTATTCTTTTATGAACATGGAGCAGGTGAAATATCCTAATATATATTCAACCTATAACCTTCTCCAATTACATAAAATTTGTCCTCTATGAAGAAGGTATTAAATAAGCTATACAAAATACAAGGGGCTCAGCAGTCACATGAATTCATGATGCTCATGTGCACAAAAATACAGGCACCTGACTTGGTCACTAGTATATGATAACCACATAAACTGCATTTCTTTTTAAGTTATTTGACATTTATCTATAAATTATTATTTATATCACAAAGAAAAGCAAAAACATGCTCAAAAAATAAAAGGGAATATCCAGAGAATAAAAGGATTATTCACAATTGAGTACTGTATAAAAATGTCCTGATCTGATTAATTTTTCAGTGAAGATTTCTCAGGGAAATTTATCCTGAAAACTAAGGGATATTTGGCATTAACCCTCAACAAAGAGGTCACTAAAAGATAGAATGAATATCACAAGCAGTTCGAAGCTTAACTATTAATAGTACTTTAAAATATGACGCATTAGCTTCTCGATGAAATCATCCCACTCTGTTAACTTAAAACTAGAACTAACAGCAATTTCAGGCTATGCAACTATTTCTAAAGTCACAGTTAGCAACATGATACCCAGGTACACTAAATTATCAACTCTGTAAAATCCTTGCCTTATTTGTTCTCATGATGACTAGACATGTGAGTTGATGTCATATTATGTTGTATTTCTAGCTAAGGTAACTGTTACACATTCAATCAATTCATCTATCCATCTTTTATAGGTAAAAGACAGTAAACACTGTACGGTTGTTTAACAACAAGAAATGGCCAGCTACTATAATTTTCCATCCAAAAATCCAAATCTCTTCCCTGTACATACCCAGAAAATACAATTATAAATTTCACATCTTATATACTAGAGTACTGAGATTTATACCAAACAATAGAAAATATTTTAACATTTAAAAGCAACTAACTGCCACCAAAATGTTTTTTCTCAGTCCCAAATCTATCCTTGTAGAACAGTAAAGTACCCAATTATTTCAATCCTTGTGGGACTACAATAGTAATAATTTAGGCTCTTTCCAGGTTTATAATTTGGATAAAAAGACCAAAACTCAACTAATTCCTAATTTCTCTTTCCCATCACAGTTTGTCGTCCCAGGAACATCTAAGTGCACTCACAGATACAGAAAACAGTGCTGTCCACAAGCCTGAAGACTCCAACAGCTAGCATCATGCCCAGACGTCAAGCATCTTTTCATTAAAGCAGTAACAACATCCTCCCTCCCAACACATAGTAAGCATCACCTTTAATGATTCCGGACTACAGATAAAAAGTTCTGACTTCACACAGATCAAGGTAGCACCGAGCCTTTCATCTTTATTCATGATCAGCTCTGATCTCACTGAAAAAAACGAACGCGTGCTCATCCTGGACCCTCCAATGTGCTCCCTCTAATCAAAACCTGTAACAATTTTTGGACTTTCCAGGTACGATAGTCTTTCTACCACCGTTGATGTTAACTAAAGAAATCTTGCTCAATAAGCAGTCCAGATAATAGGCTAAAGTTATTCCAATATAAAATGCAATAAAAACAACTGGTGCAGAAGTTGCATTAAAAAATAAACTGCATCCTTAATTGTAGTAAGATTGTTGATTATAACCACAATGAAGTTACCTAAGCAACCACTCTGCAGCACATGTGATATCCAAATACATCTTAATTACAGTGGCTGAAGATCTGAAGTTCACTTTTGATAGGACTGCTATTATATGCAAATCTATTTGTGGCCAAAAAAACCTTTAGAATATAAAGACCTATTTGAATGGTATATGACACTAGAACATAAATACCGATTAGTAAAACATGAAAAATTATAACAATAACGTAAGTGAAAAATAAGGCTAGGACAAAAAAATCTAACAACTATTGTTACATTAGTAGTAAAATCATATAAATTCATGCCTGCTACAGAACTGCAAAGTGGTCTATTTTTATTTCTAAAATATGATAAAAACTTATGTAATTACCAAAATCTAACCATTTAAGAAGAGTATATGGGAAAACGTGCACAAATTATATGGCTACTATTAAATCATGTCTAGCAAAAAATATATAGGATGCCCAAACTTGCTGTTACCGCTAATGACAGATTAATCTAAGGAAAATCAACAAAGAATGTGAAGGCCTCCTTTACTTCCTGTGTGTCTACACATGTGTCACTTGAAAACCTCAGATCACGTTCAAGGAAAGATGTCATCACTTGTGACTCGTGAATCCACAAGGCCACAAAGTTAGTATATACTCCCATGGGGGAGCAGGAAGGTCAAGAAAGCCACAAGTTTCCCATCTTCCAAGGAAATCAAGAAATTCTTACCTTTCTGTACACCAGCATGTTGGGTGACTCATCTGCCACCCCATTGCTGGTCTGCCCATAATTATTGCCCTGGGCCATGTCACCCAAAACTTGGTCAGCTCTCCGATTCAAGATTACCAGACTGTCCTGCGAAGGATTACAAAGACGGGTGAGATCCTCCTGGTCGCGTTTAGGCGGGGTGACTCCCCTGATTCGTTTCATACTGCCAGCACCCAGCCCACCCGGAGCATGCTTACTGGCTGGGGGTAGAAAGTAACACGGGGCACAGATTTTTAAAAAATAAAATGAGTTTACACCTGTAGTGCCCTGGAGAACTGTGACAAATTACAAGCTTCCAGTTCGATAGTCATTTGGCTACGGTTTTAGTTGACTTCCCTTCTCGGGCCCTCCCTTTACAAAGTAGATGCTCACCCTAGCAACCCATTGTTAACCGTTCCACAGTAGACACTCGGCTCTCCCGGCGCTTGCACCTCCACCGCGCGAGGCTTCCCCAGCAGAGCGGAAGCAGAGCGGAAGCCTGCACCCCGGGCAGACACTTTCTCCCAGGTTTGGGTCTAGTTTCCCACAGGCAGGCGCCTCCCCCAATTCCCAGCTCCTTCTCCAGCGCAAGTGTTTCCTCCCGATTCCCCCGGGGTCTCCCTCCCAGAGCCCGGGTGTGCGCCTCTCCTACCCTCACCTGCCTCCGCCGCCAGCCAGGCGCCTCTCCTCACTCACCCCACTCCTCTCGTGGGTCAGGGCGCAGTTTGCCTGATCTTTGCAAGAACGTGTCCCAGGGCGTCCAGGCGCCGGGAACTGGCGCGAGGGCGGTCAAGCCGTGGGGCAGCTACCTGACTCGCCCGGGCGGGAAGCTAACTGCAGGAGCGCCAGCCGCGGAGCAGCACCCGCGGTCCGGGTCGCTCTCCCGCCCGCCCCGCAGCGGCGATGGCAGCCGCGCGGTCAGACCCGCGGCGGGTTCAGCACAGCGGAGCGCAGCGAGCGCGGGCGCCC